GAGGAATTTGCCTAGGCATAATCACATTTTGCCTTTGTAGTCTATCAAAGTAACAAACCTGTTAAGCAAAAACTCAATATGATAAATATAAAATGAGAAACACATACACATATATTCAATGAACATTAGAAAATAATAAAAAGAAGTAATAAATACCATAAGGAATGGTAGTGGACCAGGAAAGTATCTATTCAAATCTCCTTGATAGTAAATTGCATTTTCTATCAAGCTTCGTACTGTGTATGAACACCAATCAAAACTTGAAATTCGACTGGTGTCAACAGCTGTGTGCATGAATCTAGCAAAAAAAAAAACTATAAGAAAGAAGAACATCATATATAATAATAAAGAACATAACAGACTTAATAATAAAGCACATATCAATTAAAATAAAGAACATATCATACAATAATAAAATAGAAGAATATATATTATTATAAAGAACATTACATTTCAAGATAAATAACATTACAATTAAGGATAAATAACATTATATTTAAATAAAAAGAACATATAACACAATCAGACAAAAGAACAGTATATTTAATGATACAGAACATTATGTTTACTGAAAAAGAACATCACCTTTAACAATAAAGAACATTACTTGAATAAGGGTTGTGGGTTAGACATAGACTTGATGCAGCAATTCACCACCAACAGTAGGAAACTCCTCTTCCATTTATCATCAGGGGGTTATTTGGTTTTAACTCATCAACCAAAGCCACCAATTTTGGAATTTTTCCACCATGATATTCCTTCAATTCCTTCATCACCATCATCAAATCCTCATCCTCATTCGCAGGCTCCACTATTTCTTTACCCCCCCAAAGGTAAACCATACACCAAATGGACATCAACAGGTTTGATGTCTATTGTTCTATTTCTAGCACACACTATACACACCTCATTAGCATCCACGTTCATCACCAACGTGGCATTAAAGTTAGGGGAGATCCTAGGCATATCAAGGTGTAGTATACCTCCAAATCCCATATCTCTTATAGATTGAAACTTCTCTTCTTCATTCTCCAACCCCTTTATTAAATTTTGCAAAGGTTGTGCAGTGTGCATTTGGGTGGTTGAAAAATTCCTGATCTTTTCCTCCTTCAACCCCCACATTCACTTCAGCTTCAGTAGTTTTTTTTCTCTCTTACATCAAGTCCTTTATCCTTATTATTCTTCCTTGGAATGTCCTTTGACACTTCCACAATTGTACTTGGAGCCTTAGACTGGGAAGTTGATTGAGGAGCACAAGTTTCATTCTTCTCCTTAACAGGAAAGTAAGGCTCTCCCATTGGAGCCCTCCTCTTCTTCAATGTTATTTTTTTCCCTTGATGAACATCTTGGATGTCTTCTTCAGCTATGTGCTTATCAACTTTCTTCCTGTAATTTCAAAAATGGAAAAAAAAAGAAAAAAAAAGAACACATATATGGTTAATGTATATGCCATCACCAATTACAAAGAACATTATATGAAGAGATAAAGAACATTTTAGGTAATCATAAAGAACATTTTAGGAAATCATAAAGAACAGTTCATAAAATGTTCTTATTTGATCATTACCTCATAAAAAAAAATTTATGTAATCATAAGAACATTTTCTATAATGAAAATAAACATGCATACTTATAAAAAAGAACATAAAATAGAAATAAAATCTATGTTTTGGTCAAAAAACTGATTACCAAGTTCGACCTGGGTTGCGATAATTACAGCTAGATCAAAATGGAAAAATATGCTAACAGAGATTAATGGAAAGGAAAAAAGGGGAAAGAGGGGAGAAGACACAAAATATGATGATGTAGAAAACCCCAAGAATAAAAGTAAAAACTGCGGGTGGCTATGAGTCCACCAATCCACTAAGTGTTTATGTAGAACAGGTTATTACAGATTGTAGAATGAATACCAATGATAGGTTTTTTCTATGATAATGCTTAATAGTTAGGCTATTATATTTTGTGATGTCTTGTACAATGATTAGGGTTGCCCTTATATACTAGAAAAGCATTCAAAAGACCTTCAACGGCTCTTTCCCTCAATCCCTAGGAATCCGGAGCTAACGACCCAAGCTGCTCCTATTTTCTCTCCACGTCTCCAGGTCTGGTATTCCCACGTTTGAATTGGTCTTCCTCAACGGCTAGACTGCTGGTAATGGTTCCAATTTCCTTGGATAGCATTTTGTACCTTTTCCCACTCAAAGATTCCTAGGAATATTCCTTGAGAATATGCTCCGTTGCTTGGTAACTTTGCAGCTATCTTCGACCTGTATGTCACTAATCTACAACCTGCAACCTGTCTACCTGTAGGTCATAGGAATTTTGGGGTGAAAATTCTAGCACAACAGTTTGCCCTCAGCTTGTTTCTTAGATGTTCTAACGACTTCTACGAGGCAAGCTCAGAAGATCCGTTAGAAAAGATAAATATTCAAAAATGCAACTTTAAAGATAAATTCAAATTTGTTGCAAAGATAAATATTCTAGAAAAGATAACTTCAAGCCGTTAGAAGCAATTAAATGCGGTATAAATAGATAAGCAAAGATCCTTCCAACTACTTCCCCTTTTTGCGATAAACACTGTTTCAGAAGATCTAGGGTTTTCTGATCTGCGAAAATTGGGGAAACAAGATTGACGAAGACACAACGCAATTTAACTTGGGATTTCGCTGCAGTGGAATCAAACTTTGCCAACTCTCTCTATCCTGGTAAGTAATTTGGTTTTCATTTCCTGATTTCATTGTTTTCTTTGTTTTATCTTGCGAAAATTGCTTTCAATTATGGTAAAAATCAAACATGTTGCTAAGAAAAAATGCCATAGACATACGACTAGGAACTTGAGAGTGAGCCAAAATAAGATGGGGAGAGCAGATGAAGACAAGGCTAGCAAAGTTACGGAGGCTGACTTGGCAAAGCTGAAAGCATCGGCTGGGTTCCCTTAATCTGCTGTGCTGATTGTGCCTGGACCAGATGACAGGCCACAGATCTGCAGCAAGGACAACATTGTGCTCTATGAGTACCCTTTTAAACATGGTTTTGCTTATCCCTTTTCTCACTTGGCTAGGAAAATCCTAGAAACTTTTTATTTGAGTCCAGGGCAGCTTATGCCTGCGGTCTGGAACTTGATTAGTATCGTTAATGAGGCTACGATTAATTGGGAAACAAAGGTGAATGCTGCTGACTTTATTACATGTTACGAGCTGAGAAAAAAGGACCTTGATAGGGTCACAATTTATAGGAGGGCCTCTTACAACCCTCCCCCTTTCCTGGGATATGAGACCCCTGATAGGTCATAGAAATCGAGGTTCTTTTTTATGTTGAAGGATTCTTTAGGGGAATCTGGAAGGTGGATTAGGAGTGGCTGGCATAAAGGTAAAGTCTTGATCTTAGGTGTGGTAGGTTTTGGAATAAGGTATATTAACTAAGTGCTTTGAACTTGTGTATTTTTTGCAGATCTGCGTCTGGATGCTATTAGAGCAGAGGATGGCTCAGAGTTGGTTGTGAGGGCACTGTATCAGATTCCTGGGAAGGTTACTGGTGATCACCCTACTCCCTCTGCTACTACTGCTTACGCTACTATGTCTTCAGGTATAAATTTTGTGGTTGTTGGTTTGCTTGACATACGGTTCTATGTACTAGGTTTAAGAACTGGTGTTTGTTTGGTCATACCAGGAAAGAGTGTCATCATGTCTCGGGAAGAGGCATTGCAGCGTGCCAAAAGGAAGAGGGGTGACAGCTCAGTAGGTGGTTCAATTGATACTACTACTCATCGGGCTGAGAATAGCCCTTCCAGGACTCTTTCCAATAGGGAAGAGGTTAGGGTTCCTCGTACTAGGTCTAATGTTCCTTTCGAGGCTGTGATTATTCCGGACACCTATGATGTCAGCTTCCCTCCTGATTTTCTGACCGAGGAAGGTACAAGTAATGGGATCTGGCCAGAGGCTCAGAAGCTCATGTTTCCAGCAGCTGCCAAGCGTTTGGCGAGTTTGGATGGCTCTTTGGCTTTAGCTGATGGGGCTCAAATGGTCCTACAGGTATAACCTCTAAACTGGTTCCGCTTAACTTGTTTCTAGATAGGTTTGTACTGACTTGATGCTTTGTTGGTGCAACAGGGTCTCCAAAACATTTTGTATTCTAAGTCCTAGCTCGATGGCTTGGAGAGGAAGCTGCTAGAGTTTGACAAGGTTAAGAAGGTATTGCAACTTCAAGTAGAATCAACTAAGAAGAAGGTGGAAGATGTTAACTTGCAGCTGGAGGGTAAGCAGAAACAGTTCAAGGAGGAGATGAAGAAGAGAGAGGATGCCCTAAGAGTTAAGGATGAAGAGCTGAATAAGAAGGACAAGGAGGCGGCAGACATGTATAAAAAGTTGGTTGACCTGGAGGATGAGAACAAGAACATTGAGGCTGAGGTTACTCTGAGAATTAAGGCTTATATGGCTAACAACTTCTTACTGAAGAAGTTTGAAGGGGACGCAGGTGTGAAGAAACTTCGGCAACTAGTTGATGATTATCTGACAGTTGGCTACATCGGGGATCTAGCATCTGGTGAGGCTGACCCTGTGGAACCTGAGGCTATGAAGTCTACAGCCGAGTCTTCTCCAGGTCATCAGCTCGAGTCTCCACCTAAGAGGACTGAGGAGGATGAGCAGATACCTGATGCTTGATCCATGATGCTTTTGTTTCCTTAGATTCTTGATATCGATTGTTAGAATAATTTTTAGTCCTTTTTAGACTTTGTTTCACTTCGTTTGTGGGAGCGGAGGTTTAGACTTTGCATTTTCTGCTGTTTGAACATTGCATGTTAATTTTCTTTGAGTAATCTTATGATACCTTAGATTTGCTTAGATTTCTTTGGCTTGCATATGTGCTTTGTTCTTGGTCTTTATTTCTGTGAATCTACGGTGTCTGGTGCTCAGGCCCTTAGCTGCTTTGTTCATTGAGTACCTGCATCATGAGGGTTAGAGGTGGCCGTTGGCATAGCCAACGGCCCTCCGATGCTTAAGTTAGTACGAGTTATGGAAACTAGATGGACAAAGGATTGTGAAATTACTTTTGCTTCTTGTGTCATACTGCTGCTTTTCAGATTGTCTCTGGTTATCTTCTCTTGTTCCTTTGATTTTGCAAAATAACAGCTTAAGTTATACATACATATATATATATATATATATATATATATATATATATATATATATATATATATATACATACATATATATATATATATATATATATATATACATATATATATATATACATATATATATATATATATATTATTTCATTTGAACGAAAACTCTAGAAGTGATAAAGTTTCAGATGTGCTGCGTTCCAGCTTCTGGGTACCAGCTTACCATTTGTTGTAGCTAACCTATAGGCCCCTTTTTCGATGACTTCTACAATCTGGTATGGGCCTTCCTAGGTTGCCCCAGCTTACCTGCGTTGAGCTCTTGGGTATTTTGGAAAACTTTCCTTAGAACCCAATTTCCCACTTTGAACATCCTAGCTTTGACGTTTCTATTGAAGCTTCTAGCTACCATTTGCTGATAGGTGGCCATCCTTATGCGAGCTAGGTCTCTTCGTTCTTCTATGGTATCTAGGTCATTTGACAGCTCTTCGGTATTACGCTCTGGTGTCATCAAGCCGTATCTAGCTGTTGAACTGGTGACTTCTTTAGGTAGTACGGCTTCGCATCCGTAGACCAATGAGAAAGGTGTTTAACCTGTAGCGGTTCTTGGTGTGGTTCTATTGGCCCAAAGGATTCTTGGGAGTTCTTCTGCCCACTTACCTTTCTTGTCCTTTAGCTTCTTTTTTAAAGACCCAATGATAACTTTGTTGCTGGATTCGGCTTGTCCGTTTGCTTGAGGATATCTGGGTGTAGAGGTGACTAACGTGATGTTCCATTTGTCGAAGAAGTTTTTGGTTGGGGCACTTATGGATTGGGACCCGTTGTCACACACTATTTCAGATGGTACTCCGAACCTACAGATTATGTTAGTCCAGATAAAGTTGATAACTTCTTTGTCTCTGACCTGTTGGAACGCGTCTGCTTCAATCCACTTGGAAAAGTAATCTGTTAGAGCTAACATGTAGACCTTCTGACCTGGGGCAGCAGGTAATTTGCCTACTATGTCCATGCCCCATCTCATGAAAGGCCATGGTGTCAAAGTGGGATGCAGAGGCATAGAGGGTTTATGAGTAATACCTGAGTGTCGCTGACAGCTATCACATTTTCGTACATACCTATGAGCGTCCTCTCGCAAAGTTGGCCAGTAGTACCCATAGGCGAGTATCCTGTTAGCTAAAGTTCTTCCAGCTGAATGGGCTCCACATTCTCCGTCTTGAAAGTCTTTGAGGATCTGCTCGTAGCCATCTTCCCTTATGCAGCGTTGCAAGATACCCCTGATGGAATTTTTGAATAGGACACCTTGGATGATCGTGTATCTGCTGGCTTTAAATCTGAGTGCTCTTACTTCTGCTTTGTTTTCCGATAATGTGTCGTGTTCTAGGTAATCGGATATAGGTTGTGTCCAGCTGGTTGGGTTGGTCACAGATGCAACGAAGTTGGGTTCTTCAGGTTCGATCTTAACAGGTTGGTTTGGAGTGGGTATGGGCGTTTCTGGATTGTCTGGATCGGGTTTTACAGGTTCTGGGACGCTAGGTTTAGGTGGGCGGTTGGTTGTGTCAACAGAAGGAGCTAACAGGTGGATCAAAGGGATAGAGGAGAATTTGGATTTTCTTAAGGTTGATCCCAGATTGGCTAGGGCATCTGCTTGTGTGTTTTTGTCCCTAGGTATTTGCTTTATGGTGAAGGTTGAGAATTTGGTTGCTAAGGACTTGGCTAAGTCTAGGTACAGAACCATCTTAGAGTCCTTGGCCGTAAATTCTCCGTTCATTTGACTTGCTACCAAGAGGGAGTCACAAAATACCTGCAGGTTAGTAATACCTAGGTCCGTTGCGAGATTCATACCTGCAATCAAAGCTTCTTATTCTGCCTCGTTGTTAGTAGCCTTGAAATCACAACAAATAGCTTGTACCATCATGTCCCCCTGTGGCGACTTTAGCACTACGCCGAGACCTGCACTTCGAAAGTTAGATGAACCATCAACATAGAGTATCCAGGTACCTAGGTTACGGACTTGGTTGATCTGTTCAAATTCTAAGGTTGCTTGTTGTTCAAGATCAGGGCTGAAGTCAGCCACAAAGTCGGCTAGCGCTTGTGATTTGATAGCTGTTCTTGGTTCGTATGTAATACCAAACCCGCTGAGCTCAATAGCCCATTTTCTCATTCGACCTATTAACTCTGGTCTGCGCAAAACAACCTTCACTAGATAGTTAGTTTTTACCACTATCGGATGAGTTTCGAAATAATGGCGAAGTTTCCTGCTAGCTACGATCAGTACTAATACCAGTTTTTCAAGAGAGGAGTACTTGGTTTCAGCACTGAAGAGAGTTTTGCTTACGTAATAAACAGGTAACTGCTGACTTTGAGCTTCCCTTGCTAAGACAGCACTGACAGCTTGGGTGCTGACTGCGAGGTAAAGCTGTAAAGACTCTCCTTCAGCAGGTTTAGATAATAAAGGTGACGTCATTAAATAGTGTTTGAGGTCTTGTAGGGCCTTTTCGTGATCATCAGACCAAGTAAAACCTTTATTTTTCTTTATGACGTTGTAAAACAGGTGACATTTATCTGATGACCTCGAAATAAACTTATTTAATGCAGCTACTCTACCTGTTAATTTTTGCACCTCTTTCAAGATTCTAGGTGATTGATATCAATTACAGCGCGTACCTGGTCTGGGCTAGCTTCGATTCCTCGTTGAGTGACTATGTAGCTGCGGGGAATAAATTTCAGGCGTTAATCCCCTAGCTTGAACCCCACTGTGATCATACACCAAAGTACGGTGGCGTCCAAAAGGGAAGAAGATAGAGCAAAAGAGTCGCCAACAAGTTTTAAGAACTTATAAACCGTTCACAGGGTGAAGGTTACACCCCTTAACGATCCAAGAGATCGTCAACTCCATAAGGTCCTGAACCAAATAAGGGTTCGGGGATGAAGGTACAAATCCAACCTAAAAGAGATTGAACCTGCCCTAATAATAGGCCTCTACTTTATTCTGATCGTATTCATGTGCGCTTTTTAATTAACATGCAATCAATAGGATTAACCCTAAACCTGTTTATCTATGTTGGTTGAATTTAATGCACAAATAAAACTATTATTGGCGATCACTTGAATTATAATCATAATTAACCCTAACAAGATTATTAATTATCTTATTAAGCGTGATTACAAGTACAGATTCCTTTTAAACATGCATAAAAGGTGTGATCAAGCAATAAAAATAAATATCATCAAGCAACATAATAATCAAAATAATGAATATAATCATGATCATAAAATTATAACAACGAAATAATCATCATAATAACAATCATATTAACCATAATAATAATCGTGTTAATCATAGTATTAATCATCATATTAAAATAATAATCACCAAAATAATAATAATTATTATATTCATAATCATCATAAATTATAACAATTATAATCATAATCATGTTCATGTTAATATTAAGGCATAATAATAGCAAGATCCTAGGCATGATACTAACAAGATTAATAACAAACCCTAGCATGTCACTAAGCAATAAAAATCAAAACTTTAGCCTTTACATGATACTAACAATCATAAATATTATTAAGAACATAGGAAGCATCGCAGGAATCATAATAAGCATATTTGATATTTTAACCTTTTCCCTAAACATGATACTAGAAATATCATAATAACTTTATAAACATGATACCTACATCATAATATCAATTAAATCAATTAAAGCACTTACTTTGATGCCTCCTACCTCTTTCTAATAACAAAATACACACGTTAGTAACTTCAAGGAAAATAAATAAACAAAACAATAAAATCAAATAATCGAAAGAGAGATTTGGGACCAAACCCTCAGAAATTAAACCTTTCACGTCTAGGGCGAAGGCAACTTCGAATATGGCTAGGTGTTTCTAGATCTTGCGAATGCGGAATTTTGTATGTGAAAATCAAGTTTAAAGAGAAAGAGAAAGAAAAGGAGAGATGAATGAATTAAGAGAGAATTAGAGAATTAAAACTGATTATAGGTGATTATAATTGAAAAGCTGAGTGTTAATCCCTTGAAAACGGGGTTTTTAATACGTTATTTATAGAGAAATCAGCCAAAAAGATAAAATATCAAAACAGAGCACTTGGCGCACGTAAAACGAGATTGGCGCCAGCAAAACAAAGCTAGCGCCAGCACCAGCTAATTGGCGCCAGGCGCCAATGGCTAGCACCAGGCGCCAATGGCTGGCGCCAGGCCTGGTTCCAGGCGCCAATGCCTGGAGTCAAGCGCCAGACCTGTTTTTGACGCGTTTTCAAAAATCAGATAAGTTTGCCGTACTGGAGGATAAAATCGTATCTTTTCCTGGAAAATGCTTTTTGATTTTAATTAAAACTCTGAAAAGTCAACAAAAGTCAATTTATCAATGCTAATTGAATTAGGAATGAAAAGAACCTTCTAGAAGAATCTAGAAGACTAAAACCATTCCTAATTTCATTAGGAATGATTAATCATATTAGGCCCTCCCCTAGATCATTGGGCCGCATATAAGGTTCAAACTGGGCCCAGTTTAGTAAATTGGCCATAACTTCCTCATTATTCATCGGAATTGGGCTTATAATATATCGTTGGAAAGGTCTTGGCAAGCCCCATCCAACTACACTACTATCGGACCCATATCATGGACCAACCAAACTGGATTGGCTGTTTTCTTAAAATAAGTTTTCAAAAACAGAGAGAAGAGAAAAGAAATTAAAACTATCCGCAACACTAGACATTCCACCTTTCACTTCATTCGATTATGGTTCGACGTGAAAGGTACTCATCACTGGGTTTGGTTTTGGGGAGACACAAATGGGTGTCTACAGAAGCCCCCACTTTGACTGAGTTTGGAGAAACGTGAGTTTCGAAAACGAAAGTCAAAGTATCGATAGGGACGGAGAATGATTTAGAACGTTCTGCACTCTTGTGACGTCGATATGTGCAAAACTAGCGTTAGTTAAACAGATAAGAGAGTTAAGAAACGCGTATCTTGCACCGTCGAGCACACGTCTCTTAAAGTAACCGATGGTTGCCGCTTTACTATTGTTTTGATGACCTCCTACAAGCTAGAGAATGCCATCCCGCTTGAAAACTGCTACGCCCGTAGCTGCTTCCAATATAGAAGATTGCTTCGCCTGAAACGATCCCCCTTCGCTTTGATAATATTCCACGTCCAAGGGAATACCATCGAAGATTGCTTCTCTTGAAACAATCCTCAGTTGTTTTTGACAACTCTCCACAATCTAGGGAACGCCACCTTGCTGTTTGGGTGTTCACTCGTCTCGGAACAAAGAGCTTCCTTTTTTGGATATGTTCACGCGCCTTTGAACAAAGAGCTTCTTTTTGATATGTTCTTCTGAATGATGTGTCCACGTGTCTCTAAACGAAGAGCTTGATAATAGGATGCACACGCGTCTCTGAGCGAAAGAGCATGTAAATAGGAGATCTTTGATGATATGTCCACGCGTCTCTGAACAAAAGATCTTTTGAATGATATGCCCACGCGTCTCTGGAGCAAAAGAGCTTGATAGAAATGTTCACGCGTCTCTGAACAAAAGTGCTTGAATAATATGCCCACGCGTCTCTGGAGCAAAGAGCTTGAAAGAATTGTCCACGCGTCTCTGAACAAAAGAGCTTTGATGAAGATGTTCACGCGTCTCTGAACGAAGAGCTTGAATAATATGCCTACGCGTCTCTGGACAATAGAGCTTCGGTACTTGAACGTTTGTTGCGATAATATTCTGAAGAAAAATTTCCGAAGACCAATGTTTGTCGATCTCTAAAGCTCGCCTGAACTTTGTTTCCGCTAAAACAAGTATGTCGATGTTTTCGTGATTAGGCGCTTTATGAGACGATCTTTCATCAGGTCGATCACTTGTTGCAATTGTAATCAAACCGACTACTTAATCATGTCAAATTGCTTATAGGGGCTAACTGGCGTACCAAGGAACCCAAAATTGTTGTATGAGGTCAAAATCACCTTTTTGAGAGGCTTCGATCTCTGTCGCTACTGAAATATCTCTGGCGCCAAGAATTGGAGTAGGGTCTTCCCTATTCTGCTGCACCTGTATTTATTTTTTACTATAGAACTTTGCCAATTTCTTTAATTATCTTAGGGTTGACCTAAGGTTTAATGTTGCTTAACTCAATAACTTGACACGACTCAAGGCATAAACTTGACTCGCTATGATTGACTGACTCGAGGTTGACTCGACTCAAAGTGAAATGACACATGTGTTAGACTCAAATCAAAGTGATATGACACGACATGACTCAATGTGTACATGACTTGTGTGTGCATCGTAATGTGATCGTGGACTCGAAAATGCAAAAAAGCAAAAATTTGTGGAGGGTACCGACTTTCTCCCGAAAAAAGAAAGACACGAAAAAGAATCGAAGTAAAGTTTGAAAATGCATGTTTAATGAGCTTAGTCAAATGTCATTTGATACTATCTCTGAAGGTGAAAGGATTAATTCATCCTAGGCTATGTCAATTGTTGACTCAATGATGAAAGTATTTAGGTAACTTAGGAACGGAGGCTAGGCACTTCATACTTTGTGATGCAATGAAAATTATTATTGATGAGCGATTTTGATATGATAAGGCATTGACAAGCGCACATTAGGGCGCGCTTTAAGGCATATAAATGGGTGATTTTGGATGTATTTAGGCCCGTTTTGGTCGTTTATTGCCTTGTTACACTCGTTTCCTTCATATTAC